AATTTTTGGTTTCTACTCTCTAATCTCAAATAATTTTGAAAAAAATTTCGATCTTTTTTAAACAATTTCCATCACCACAAATACATCAAACTAATTTAGGATTAATTTCCTCAAGGAAATATTTATTTTTAACTTTTTTATTTATTTAGGAGTTTATATTAATCTCGATTTCATTTTTGTCTCCACTTTTATCCTCATTTTCAAGATGACCATAAATGTCTTGATTTACAAAAAAATTATAAGAATTTAACTTTGAATTTTTCCATATTGATTTACCAAAAGAGTAACATATCTATTTACACTCAATGACAAAATTTTGTATCCAAAAATTTATTTTGCATTTTTACAAAATCCTACTAAATAAATAATTGTGATCTTCACACCATTTTAAAGTTATGGTTCTTGAAAAAGTTTTTTATTATTGTTAATTAAATCTTTATTTATGAAGTTTTTGTTAGCATTAAAATTACGAAATTGATGATCATTTTGGTTTTTTTTTTTAGCCAAATGCTCACAAATTATTGGTCTTTTCAAAGGCAGCCACAAAAGGTCTGACATTAGTAAAATTCTTGGATTTGAAGTTTCAACTGTAAAAAAAACCATCCAGCGTTACGGTGATTCAGAAATGCCAGTAAGCAAAAAAAGAAGTGGTCGGCCCAAATTACTTGGTGAGGATGAAAAAAATATTTTGAAGGAAATCATTACCAGTAATAACCGAACACCAACTAGTGGGATAAAGGAATCCTTTTATCAATCAACTGGTTTAAATGTTTCGACTAAAATAATTTATCGAAATCGAAACTTGCACCAAATTAGTTTCAATTCTCACCATGCAGCTTCAAAACCACTCCTTAATGGTAAACAACATCAAAATCGTCTCGAATAGTGCATTAATCGAAGGCATTGGTCTAAAAAAATGTGGAGATCTGTAATATGGAGCAATGAAAGCCAGTTTACTCTTTTTTGCAATGATGGACCAACAAAAATTTGGCATAAACTTGGAACTCGGTACAATATTGAAAATTTGACGTCTACAGTAAAACATGGTGGTGGTGGTGGAATCATGATTTGGGAATTTTTTCAGCAAATGGATTAGGACCATTAATTAGATTACATTAATGTTTTAGAGGATAATTCATCCAAGAAAATTACCCTACAAATCATTACAAGTTTCAAGATGATAATGCTTCTGTCCATACTGCAAAGAATGTGAAAAAGTGGATGTCTGAGAAGAAGCTTATCTTTTTTGAAAATTGGCCTTCTCAGTCACCAGACCTTAATCCCATTAAGCACTTGTGGGATGAACTTGGCCGAAGATTAAAAAATCGCCTTGAACATTCAAAAAATTTGGGAGAGTTGGAAATTTTCTCGAGACAAGAATGGGAACAAATTCCTTGCAAAAAATATTTGAATTTGATTGATAGTATGCCCAGAAGGATAGAAGAATGTATTGCCAACAATGGTTGGTCAACTAGATATTAAGATAGTAAGAAATAATATTTTTATCTGTTAAAATTGATCATCCATTTTATAATTTTTAAAGTCAAATTTTTTCATAATAAAAATTTCACAAGATAAAAATTTGTTATTAATAAAAAATTTTCTCAAGAACCAGAACTTTGAAATGATGTAAAGAACACAAATATTTATTTAATATAATTTTGAGAAAATCTCAAAATAATTTATGGATACAAACTTTTGTCCATTGAGTGTATATAAAGAAGGGCTAAAATCAAGAAAATTGCATGCTTATTTGAGAATATTTGTGGTTTCTTTTACAAGGGTTTAAACTGCACGCAAATAATCAATTGAATTTGAATTATAGTTTTTATTATTCAATATTTTTAAAAGAAAAAAGTAAATAAATAAATAAAAAATATCAATGCTGCCCTTGATCGTTTTTATAACCAAATACTTGTTGTAGCCTCAGTAACTTTTGTTTATAAGCATCATCTAACAAAAAAAATATTAACATAATAAATAAATATTTATATATAAAATATAAAAAATATTTATATATTTTTACCTTCTGACAAATTAGGATTTTCTATATTGTTATTATTTGTAGGAACTTTTTTTTTAAGAGGAAAAATAAAAAATACTATTAATCCCTATTAATAAAGGTATGTTATCATTATCATAATTACTTACATAATGATTTAGCTTCTGCGATGATATTTGCTTTTGCTTTTTCATCTTCCTCTGCTGCGATATTTG